GGGGTGGGAGATGGGCTGTTATAAGCAAAGGAGAGTATTTTCTGGATACTGTTTTTCTGATCTGGTCCATGGAGGGTGGAGGGGAGCAAGTGTGTGTGGGGAGAGCGGTGGCAGGGTGGGAAGGATCAGCCATGAGGACAGTCAAACTTTCCCAAGCTCCCTCCCCGGCCCGCCCCACCCCTGCAGGCTGACTCTGTGTAGCCCTTCTGAACTTATGAGAGGAGAAGAAGGGTCAGGGGGGCAGGTGGGGATTTTCTTACCTGCACGTAGGGCTGCTCCAGCACACCCTTAGGTCATACTAGGGCAAACTCTCTATTGAGTTGGCACCGTCTGGTTGCCCGTGCTACCCCTGCTGGGCAGGGAGCTCCTTAGAACAACACCCAGGCCTCTTGGTGACCCTAGCAGCCAGCAGAGCAGACATCAGTAATGTTTGTGGGAGAGAGGAAGGAAGGAGGGAAAGAAAGAAAAGAAAGAGGGTAGGAGGGGAGGCGCTGAAACTGTGGCCCCCTGTTGGAACGCCCAGTCTTGCATCGGCCCGGGCACCTTCGCATCCCTGCAGGAGTGGACTAGCCCCCAGTTGCTCCCTGGGGATGCAGGGGTGGGGTGGGGGATTCTCTGGCTCTCCTTCCTGCCCTTTGCAGGCTGATGCTGGGCTTCATGGGTGTCACGGCCTTCCTGTCCATGTGGATCAGCAACACGGCCACCACGGCCATGATGGTGCCCATCGTGGAGGCCGTGCTGCAGCAGATGGGGGCCACGAGCACAGCCACTGAGGCCGGCCTGGGGGCTCTGGAGCTGGTGGACAAGGGCAAAGCCGGTGAGCTGCCAGGTGAGCCTCTGGCCGAGGCACCACAGGGGTAGCCTCCCCTCTCTTGCTAAACACTTTGGCCACCTCCTTCTCCCTCCCTGCTCCCTGGAACCTTCCTTTAAACATGCAGAGAGAAAAAGAAGTTAGGAAATGCTGTTTTCATCAGTTTTAGGGATGTGAGTTTTTTTTTTTCTTTTTGTCTTTTTTCGTGTCCGGCAACGGATCGCAACCCTCGGTGTTGCGCCCGCACCTTGCTCAGCCAGTGAGCGGGAACCGGTCTGTATGTGGGATCCAAACCCTCGGCGGGAGCGCCACCGCGCTCCCAAGTGGCGCACCGTAGCAGTGCGCCACCGGGCCAGCCCGGGATGTGAGTTTTTGCCTAAAAGGTAGGTCCTTTAGTAGAGCTTAGAGCATTGCATTTCCTTTAGTAAAACTTACAACAGTTTCCACCCTCGGTTCCCACCAATCACAGAAACAAGTAAGCATTCATTTGATCATTCATGTGGGCATCTTTTGAGCATCTACTGGGTGCCCCTCACCCCTGCTACTCCTACTCATCCTCAGGGAGGCCTGTCTGACCCCCCAGGTCAAATCCCTCCTCTCTCTGCTCCCCCGGTCTTGGGGTTGGCGTCCCGTGCTTGCTCCCCTGCTAGGCTGCAGCTCAGGAAAGGCAAGAGAGCATCTGCTTTGTTCTCTGCTCTGTTCCCCACCCCAGTCCTAGGGGCTCATGGCTCATGGCTGGTGGCCTGATAGCCAGCGCACGGGTGAGGTCCTGGTGCGACAGAGATGAACCAGACACATTCCTACCGCAGACTTTCACGGAGCCTGGTGGGGCAGTGTAAATGAGCCCCTTGGACAAATCACCTGACTCTGGGAAGCCACGGGAATGCCCTAAGCCAGACATGGATGGAGCTCAGAAAAGGGAGAGGCCTTGCTCAGCAGAGAAGGCGCTTGAGATGAATTTGGATACCCCCTAGATGGAGGAGAGAGCTGGAGCAACAGCAAGGAGGCAGGAGAGGGGGCATGTGTTTTCAGCTGCTGAATTTGGATGAAACACGGAGGAGTCTTGGGGAAGCCCTGGGAGGTGACTCTGGGAAGGCAGATGGGGCCAGACTGCACTTGGAACTGGTGGCTGAGCAATGCACGTGAAGGGGTCTGGCAGAGCTGGATGACCCAATTCTTGGGTTAGCAGCAGAGGCAGGAGCTGGTACTGGGTGGGCAGCCCCCCTGACTGGCTCAGCTAGCAGCGGTGTGCCTACCACAGGGAACCAAGTGATTTTTGAAGGCCCTGCCATGGCGCAGCGGGAGGATTCCAACAGGAAGAGGATGTGCAAGGCCATGACCCTGTGTGTGTGCTATGCGGCCAGCATCGGGGGGACCGCCACTCTGACCGGGACGGGACCCAACGTGGTGCTCCTGGGCCAGATGAATGAGTGAGTCACTAGCCACATCTTCTGGGGATGACAAAGTAGGTCCCAAGGGTGGAGGGACCTACTCACCTCTCCCTCCTCCTCAGCTGGGCCCTGGAGGGGTGGGAAGATGTTCTCCCATCCATGTCTGTGTCCTGGCAATCCTGAACCCACTCAGAAGCCCTGGGACGGGGTGGGGAACTAATGCTAAGGAGCTAACATCAAAGCTGCTTCCTGCCCTGGGACAAGTCCCACCTTCCTTTCCTGGGCTCAGGGATTATGGCTCAGAGAGGGACTGTGGATTGAGCTCTGAGCTGAAGTCATGGGAGATGACAATGTAGTCCCAGATGCCAGGAGCCTTGGTTAAAACTTGCAGAATATAGATACCCCTAAAAGCTCTCCTGCCTTTGGCTCACCGACTGTGGCTGTGAATGGTGATGGCCTATGACACTGGGGTCTCTGATGGTGTGAAGTGCTGGACCTGGGTCACTCGTTGCCTCACCTCTGGTTCACTATGTATACCCCACTAAATTGCCCTTGAGGTGACGTAGCCCCTTGTGAGGCACCAGGTAAACCACGGGGGTGGCTTGGAACTTTCCAGCTGTGGTCACAAAGGGACACAGGCCACGAGGACCCCATTTCTTTGTTCAGCCTTGTGCTGGGTGCGGCTGGGATCACAAAAGGGAGAGAAACCTGGGTCCCGCCCACAGGATACTCATGGTCTGCTGAGGGCAGCAGATGTCTGGAGGGTTCCAGGCAGGTCTGGTAAACAGATGCATTAACTGAGGCACGTACAAGTTGCAGTGGGCAGGAACAAAAATACGGGGCAGACAAGAGCTCTGGACAGGGGTGGGGAGGGCGGCTGGTGCAGAAGCTGGGAGGTGGGAAGGACAGGCCTGGAGCCTGTCCGGGCAAAAACTTGAGGCTCAACAACCAGATTGTTTTGATCCTGGGATTGTTTCCATAATGATATCTTTATGGTTCTTCCTCAAGTTCCTTTGGGAAAAGCAGCCTGCTTGGGCTAAGTAGGGAAAGCTCCATTTCTACGCTGATACCCTTGAGCTAAAGGGGGCAGCCCTTGGGACTGGCAGAGCCTGGGATGGGAGGTAGGGCCTGGGCCAGAATTGACCCTCCTCCAGCCCCCAGGAAATATCTTCCAGTCCCACCCTAAGATTTGCTTTCCTAATGGGGCCCTTCCATTGCAGAAACCCACAGGGTGAGAGTTCTGAGGCACCCGTGGGCCCCTGAAGGTGTTGGATAAATTATATGAATGTGTGTATAAGGTGTACTTTTCTGGAGGATGGGCCATAACTTTCATGGGATTCTCAGCAGGGTCTGCACCCACAGAAGGGTCAGTTGGTCACTGCTCAGCCTGGTCCTGTGCCACAGCCATGTTCTGGGGCCCCCATTTGATTAGGGGGTAATGCCTGGCAATGGACTTGGGTGGCTGAACCTCGGGAAGATGTGGCCCCCCCACAGGCCCACCTCTCAGGGCTCAGGGTCCAGCAGTTGCTTGGTCTCCACACATGGGCCTCGCCCGCTGCCCACAGCTCAGTGTCTGGGTCCAGGTGTGGACCAGTGTTTCTCCTTTCAGATTGTTTCCTGACAGCAAAGACCTCGTGAACTTTGCCTCTTGGTTTGGATTCGCCTTCCCCAACATGCTGATAATGCTACTGTTAGCCTGGCTGTGGCTCCAGTGTATTTATACGGGGTTCAGGTAAGTTTGAGCTGCTCCCAGAACAAAGAGTCTAACCATGCCACGTGCCTGTAGAAAAACCCTCAGTCTCAATAGGCGAGTCTACAAAGTTCTTTGCGTCTGGCCCTATTTCTCCAGCTCCATCTCCTGCTAGTCTGCCCTCCTGTCCTGACCACCCCAGGCTGCTCACTGTGCCTTTGCACATATTGTCCCTTTTTCCTGGAATGCTGTTTCCTCCCTTCCCACCTCCTAGGGCTTCAAGACCAGTTCAGATGCTGCTTCCCCAGGGACACCTTTCCTGACTTCCCCTCACCTCCATTTCCATCTTGGAAGAATCTCTTGCTGGCTCCCCTGAGCTTCCCCTGGGCATATCCCAGGGTACCCTGCCCTATCCTAGGGTACTTGTTTTCCAGTATGTTCTGTGTGTTCCAGTGCCGCCCCTCCCCCACGGCCATGAGCTCCTCCAGGGCCTCTCTGACCACTGCACCCAGCACAGCTCCCGGCCCGTGGAGAAAGAGCAGGTGTGTCATCAATGTGGGTTAAAGCCATTAAAGAGAAGCTTGTGCCTACATGCCAGATCAACACTGCTGGACACACTTCCACTTGGTCACATGGGTCCGCTAGGCCAGGTCACAGCAAACTTCCTGATAATGTTCAAATCAATGCAAACCCAGCCCTTTACCAAATGCCACCAATATTCTCAGCAGCGTGCCTGTCCTGGAAAGTTTGCCTTCCTATTCCCAGTACTCTGGCAAGTTGACCAAGGGTCACCCTGGACGGCATCCAGACTTTGGACAGAAACCATGACATGCGGTTGACAAATACCTTAGAAAAGTTATTTTAAAATAACTTAAAAGACACGACATTTACCGGTAGTGCCAAGGTGATTGTGTCACCCTGGGATAGAAAGTTCTTAGCTGAGAGAGAAGTGCATATGCTCTGTGCCCTGATCACAGGGACTTGAGCCACATAAAGACAGGGGTGTGTGTGACCGCAGGGAAGAGACCTCAGAGCTGGGAGGCAAAAGTGCCCATGGAAACCCATGATTTAATGGGGAAGATGGGCCTTTTACTAAGTTTTCTTCTGAAGGAGGAACGGTTCTGAAAACTGCCATTAAAAAATTGCCATATGGGCCGGCCCGGTGGCGCACTGCTACAGTGCGCCACTTGGGAAGTGCGGTGGCGCTCCCGCCAAGGGTTCGGATCCCACATACAGACCGGCCGCTCACTGGCTGAGCGAGTTGCGGGAGCAACACCGAGGATTGCGATCCCGTTGCCGGTCCCGGTCCGGTACGGGCGCGACACTGAGGGTTGTGATCCGTTGCCGGTCACGAAAAAAAGACAAAAAGGAAAAAAAAAAAATTGCCATACACATTCCGAACAGTCAGAATAATGACAATAAGGCAGTGCTCACTGCCCCCGCCCCCGCCGCCCTGCCCTGGGTGCTTGCCTGTCCAGCGTGGTTTTGACAGCAGCTGTCTTTGCCCTGCTTTTTGAATCTTCTTGAATCTGCACCAGGACAAAAGTCAGCTAGTGGGCCTATCTGGAAATAGTCCCCTGAGCCCGCTGCAGGTGGGCATCTGTGTCTCCTTGTGGGCAAAAGAAATAACAACGCCAACATTTATTGAGGGCCTATTATGTGCCAGACACTCTTTTAAGCACTCTCGTATATGAACGCAATCTTCATATAAGTAACCTGTGAAGTGGGTACTATTATTATTATTCCCAATTTACAGATAAAGCACCTGAGGCTTGGACAGGTTAAATGGCCTACACAGGGTTGTAGAACTTGGAAGCAGTGGGACTGAGATTGGAACCCAGGCAGTCTGGCCCCCACTATTTACATGCTCTCTTGGGGAGGCTGAGGTTTGCTGCTCTGGACAGCCTCCAGACCTGGGCATGACTAGGTGTCAGCAGTACTAGCTGCGGCCTGGGCATTGCCCTAAAGCAAGCAAGAGACCCACCAAGCAAGAGGAGGGAACTGGCCTGGCCCCAGGACCATGAGGGCATCGTCATCTTCCCATCTAGCTGGACCTGGACACCAGACCCCTGAGAATTCCCAGCCAAGAACCTGGAGCTGAGGTTCACCAAGCCTGGCGCAACCCCCACCCATCAGTTCCTTGACCAGCGGGGAGCCTGAAGAGCGCCTGCTGCATCAGGACTTGCAGAGCCTGCTCCTGGGGGGTGCAGGGCTGCTGTTCAGTCCTGCCCCTTCCCGACATGCTGCGCTAGCTCAGACCTGGAACGTGGTGGGATAGTTAGCCTTGTTTAGGTTCAGATCTGGAAGGCAGAGGACAGCTTTTTACACTCAGTTTGAATGACGGGAGCAGTGCTCTGGCCCAGGCCACGTCCTGTCACATACCAGGACCTGATGATCCCTGCATGCTGCTGTGGCCTCCTGGACCACTCACCTGAGGCCAGGGAGCACTTGTCTCAGCTACAGGAAATACCTCTGTCACATCTTGTTCTCACTTGAGTTCCAAATCTGGATTACTGTGGAGACAATGTCAAGATCTTGGCCTCTAGCCTAATCCAGAAAAACAGTATCTTGCTGAGTTTGTGGGCCACATCCAGCCAAGGAGCTGTCCCAACCAGGCTCACCCCCTGAAATAGGGATGAGGGTTCTTCTGGACCCCTGTCATGGCAGAGGCATGTGGGGGTTTGCAGACCCTTCCCACTCTCCTTGGCGCTGCAGCATATTCAGTCCAAGTTCACTGTGGTGCATCACAGTGCAGGGCATTCTGCTGCAGGACACTTTGGTCCCCACCCCAACCCCAGGGCTCCCATAGGCCAACTTGATCCATTTGCCTGTATCTTGTGTTAGCCCAGTGGTCACCAGATGAATTTAACCCAGAGATCAGAGTGTAACTGCTGAACGAAAGCAAGCCGGGAAGCTTGGTGGCACCACTGTGGGGACTGACATCGGATGACTGCATACTTGATACAGCCCCAGAGTCTGTAACTGCTGTGTTGGGGATGTGCCATCAGTCCCAGACATAGGCTTGGGCTCCATGCTGGGCAACTAGGAATACCAAGGCCACCACTTATCCTGGAAACCTGAAGCTCCTGTCCCAGCCCCAGAGTCTCTAGGATGACAGGTGGCAGCAGATCGGTGCTTGGTAGAGCATAGACTCTCCGGAGGCATGGGTACGAGGGCAGAAGGGTCTCTCCCATGCCAGCAGAGTCATCCCCATGCCTGATGATCTTGAGGGTGTCCCTGGTGGGTGACCCTTGGGACGCACAGCCTTGTCCCCTTGTCCAGCAGGAAGATCCTGGCCGACTGTGCAGACCTGAGATCCTATCAGTGCCACCTCCTTTCCTGACCCCGAGCACCCCAGGAGGCTGTGTCCTGACATCCTTGTGTCCCTGTGCTCCAGGCTGTGCCATGGTCACTGGCATGGCCCTCATGCTCTCAGAGGTGGTTCACAGGAGGGCTCTGCAGGGACACTGCCCCTGGCCTTGCCCACCCACTCAGACCCACAGTGGCCAGAGCACGTGAATGGAATCCTCAGAGAATATCTCAGGGCCTGCATCCCGTGCACTAGTGGCCCCAGTTACCCCCTCTCCACAGCTGAGCTACCCTCTGGAACTCCCCCAAGAATCCCCTCTCCTTCTGCCCCTTTGCCAACACTACCCTAGGGGAGGTCCTTCAGGGCACCATTGGCCATGGGCACTGGTCTCTAGGGGACCCACTGAGAGCACAGCTTGGGCTGGCTTCCTTCATGCACCAGCTACGCTTGCTGCTAACCCCAGGGTCTCCTGGATCCCTAATCGTACACCTCCAGCTCCTTGAAACACAAGAACACATCTGCTCCTTTCTGACCCAGGCTGCCGGGACCCGTCCTTGCTCCCTGTACCCTCCTGAGCTTCCTCTGTGATGGGGGCTGGCATCCCAGCACCACTGAAGGTAGCTCCAGGCCAAGGTGAGAGGAGAAAGACTTGGGGAGCATGTAAGGAGCTCTGGTCCCATCTCCAGCAGGCTCCAGAACTTCTCATAGTCTTCCCCCAGGTGACCCTGGAGCAGTGGGTCTCCAGGTGACCAGACACCTGCCAGGTCCCCTTTGCCAGTGATGGCCTCAGTTCTGCTTATTTCTGAGTCCTATCCTCCTGCCCCCTCCTCTGTTCTGTTCAGCTTCCCATCCTCCTGGCCATCCTCTCCTTTGCTGCCTCTGCTGTCCCTGATCCCTGGTTGAGACTGGCCACCTCACCTGTACCATCCTGGGCCTCCTCTGGGGGCACCCCTGGGGCATGTACTGGGCACACAGAGTTCCGTTTCTCAACAGAGACTCTTTCCCACTGCATCGTGGGAGGCAGGGGAGGTGGATAAAAGAGAAAGAGGAGGAGGGAGGGAGGAAGGGACTAGCTCAAGGCCCACACAGGTGAGGCAGCACCATGTATCTTTCGGCCACATTCTGCTGTGCAAAGTTCAGGCTACATCTGACCAGCCCCGAACCAAACAATCTGCCCTGACATTCTCCCATCTTTGCATTCTCTAGCTTAAAATCCTGGGGCTGCGGGCTAGAGAGGAGCAGCAGCGAGAAGGCTGCCTACGAGGTGCTGCTGGCGGAGTACAGGAAGCTGGGGCCCTTCTCCTTTGCCGAGGTCAACGTCCTCATCTGCTTCCTCCTGCTGGTTGTCCTGTGGTTCTCCCGAGACCCTGGCTTCATGCCTGGCTGGCTGTCGCTCGCCTGGGCAGAGGGTGAGACAAAGTAAGTTATTCATTTGTTCAGCAGAACCTTCTGGCTTAGGGCGCTGGTGCCTGAATGCTGCCATCTGCAGCTGCAGGGGGCGAGAGGAAAATCCAGGGCAGGCCCCTTGCTTGGCTGTGGCACTTCTTTGTTCTGGACTTGGGTTTCAGAGAGTGCTCTGCTGGATGCTTGACTCATTTTTTTTTTTCTCACCAATCTTCATGACTGGACCACAGATGCATTTCTGCAGCATCCTCTCCTCCTCCGATAGGCTGAGCTGAAAATACTTGGCCAGGCAGGTGGCCAGATCTGTGATAGATTTGTTGGGTTTAAAGGTTGGGCCCCCAGAGCTCTGGTTTCCAAATCTCTGCTTTGCCATCTTTCCTTTGTTATCTTTCTTCAAACCCAGGCAAGTGCCTCCCAAGACACACATCCAGGGGTCAAGAAGCTTCTTAGAGACTTGGCAAAAGGGGGTGTATGTAGTTTTTCTCCTGGCTAAGATTCTGCCAGAATGGAAGAAAGTTGAGAAAAGGCAGAAGCAGTGGGTGAGTCGCTGCCTGTTGCTGGCTATGCTACGAGGAAGGTGTGTTTGGTTCAGCACCAGAGTCCTTGTGGTCGCCCTGGTGGACCTAAAATTCTAGAGAATCTTGTACAAAAGAGGCCACGAAGTTCACCCGTGGAGCAGTGCAGGCTGAGAGGGAAGTGGACTGTTCAGGGTTACCTGAAGTTGGTGTCCAAGAATGTGGACAAGGTCTTGGTTTCCAGCCAGGACTCAGTCAGCAGCCTGACTCCTGAGCTTGGCTTTGGGGGCTCCAGTTTCCATACCTAGTTGAGCCTGTTTCTTTATGTAGGAGCATTTAGATACAGAACTATCAGAGTTAGAGCAGGTTTGTTGGGTGACTGTCACTGTAGCAGATGAGCTTGCACAAAAATCCTCCATGCTCTTCCTCGTCTAGGTACGCCACAGATGCCACCGTGGCCATCTTTGTGGCCATGTTGCTATTCATTGTGCCTTCAGAGAAGCCCAAGTTCAATTTCTGCAGCCAGACAGAGGAAGGTACGGCTCCTTTCCTGGGTTCAGGAGGGGGAAAACCCCATCCTATTGGAATGGACTGGCTAGATTACAAAGGCCTGGGGAAGTTGAGATGTTCCCTAGGTATTGCTTAGTGCAAAATCTCCTCTTTTGTTGAACATTTGAAATCTTATTTATATTATGACAGAAACAGAAAAACGTTTCAAATTTCCTATAATGCTATCAGTATTTTTTGTTTTCTCTCTTCCTCCCAGACTTTCTTAATATGCATATACATTATATGGTTATAATCAAAACACACACAGTTTAAATTCCATGTCTTTGCTAGGGACTACACTGTAAACTTTTCCCACTATTGCTAGTCTTCAAATTTATTTTCTCTAATAATGACATTATATTACATTGAGGGACTATAACCATTCTTCTGTTATGGAACATTTTGGCTGTTCTGAATTTTTATTATTTTAAATTAATGTTTTCTTGTACATAGCTTTTTCTTTGAGGGTATTTTCTTCTTTAGGATAGATTTCTAGGAGTGATGTTGCTGGGGTAAAAGAACATAAATTTTGGGCCGGCCCGGTGTGGCGGCGCTCCCGCCGAGGGTTCGGATCTCACATACAGACCAGCCGCTCACTGGCTGAGCAAGGTGCGGGCACAACACCGAGGGTTGCAATCCCGTTGCCGGTCCCGGTCCGGTCCGGGCGTGACACTGAGGGTTGCGATCTGTTGCCAGTCACGAAAAAAGACAAAAAGGAAAAAAAAAAAAAGAACATAAATTTTTAATGGCTCTTAAAATACATAGCCAGATTGCTTTATTTTTGGTGGCTGGCTGGTACAGGAACTGAACCCTGGACCTTGGTGTCATAAGCACCACACTCTAACCAGCTGAGCTTACCAGCCAGCCTCAAATTGGTTTTCAAAAAGGTTGTACCAATTTATATTGCTATCAGCAGAGCATGTAATAGTTTCTCCATAGCCTCACCAGCAATGGGTACAATAATTATCATACATTTTAGCTAATTTACAGGTATGAGATGGTACCTCCTTGTCCTTATTGGGTTTATTCCCCCTTGATTATACCTCTTTTGTTTTCTAATGCTGCTGACACCATGTGTGTGTGTGTGTGTGTGTGTGTGTGTGTGTGTGTGTGTGTGTGTTCTTTCTTCTCAGAAAGGAAAACTCCATTTTATCCCCCTGCACTGCTGGATTGGAAGGTGACCCAGGAGAAAGTACCCTGGGGCATCGTGCTGCTACTGGGGGGCGGCTTTGCTTTGGCTAAAGGATGTGAGGTAAGTTCTGCAGCTGCAGGCTGCCCAGTGCTCCCCTCTTCTTCTAAGAGGGTGGCCAAAGAGCTGCTGTACTCCTCCTCCTCCAACCCGGCTTGTGTGTCTCTGTATCTGTCTCCTCCACAAAGCTGCACATTCCTCCAGCACAGGGACTCTGTCTTGTCGTCTAGGAGCCCTGCACCACGAACAGTGCCTGGAAGAAGGAAAGTATTCTTTGAATGACCACACAAATGAGTGATTGTGTGACTCTGGTTAGCCCAGACAGGCAGAGGACTCTATCAGGCCCGCTTTGGGGCTTGGTAATAGTGATCTGTGCTTTGATTTATCCTAGGAAAATCTTTCTTTCAAGTCCTCATGAATATTTTCATCATTTTCTTTTGTTCTTCTACTTGCTGAACTCATTGTTGACATGGTTTCAAAATTTCAAAATTTATTTCTAGCTAAGTATGTAGCAGCATAGAAGAAGAGGAACAGCTTTTGGGAGGAAATGCACCTAAATTTTACTTTCCCCACCTCCCTTCCTCCTTCCTGGGAAAGAAATGAGCCAGAGGGAGGGAGGGATGAGCTAGCTTGGTGCTGCTATCATCCATCCATCCACCCATCCATCCATCCACCCATTCATCCATCCATCCACCCATCCATCAATCCATTCACCCATCCATCCACCTATCCACCCATCCATCCATCCATCCATCCATCCATCCATCCATCCATCCATCCATCCATCCATCCATCCATCCATCCATCCATCCATCCATCCATCCATCCATCCATCCATCCATCCATCCATCCATCCATCCATCCATCCATCCATCCATCCATCCATCCATCCATCCATCCATCCATCCATCCATCCATCCATCCATCCATCCATCCATCCATCCATCCATCCATCCATCCATCCATCCATCCATCCATCCATCCATCCATCCATCCATCCATCCATCCATCCATCCATCCATCCATCCATCCATCCATCCATCCATCCATCCATCCATCCATCCATCCATCCATCCATCCATCCATCCATCCATCCATCCATCCATCCATCCA